ATTAACAAGACCTTAAAAGGAATAAAAACGCATCAAACGACAGGCTTTCTGTCATCATCACAGGGAATACAACCAAAATGGTGGCTTTCAGCCATCATGTAGCTCTTAGAGCAAAGTCCAGGGGGTCTCAGGAGCACAGCTTTACCTGCCATATTTGGATCTGGGGGCGCGAAGGACAACATGGTAATGGAGTGATCATGAGAGGCTGACAACAGAAGTGATTAAGGGTCAACGTGAAAACATAAGCAACTTATACATGATCTCTTAAGGAAAGACATTAAGCAGCAGACCAAACACTGGACCTGGAGTTCTAGTTCTTGCTCTGCCACTAAATGTGTGACCTTGACAAAGTGACTTAACATCTCTGGATGTGAATTTCCTTAACTACAAAAGACTAGAGTAAAACTAAACCTTCTCCAACTTCCTTAAATTTCTAATACTCCTCTCCATCCTTAAGATGGACACATATGAAGTCACCAAAATGAGCCACAGCTCAGTCATTCTTTGGACATTATCATGATCAACACATTTCCTGTGCATAAACATGGGTTTACTAGACTAGGGTTGTCAGATTAAATGCAAGATACTCAGTTAAATTTGCATTTCATAAAAACAACAAATAATTTTTTAGTATAAATGTTGCATGGAACATACTTATAGTAAGAAATTGTTGTTTATCCAAAATGCAAGTTTCTTTTTTTTTATTTGCTAAATCTGGCATTCTAACTCCAACTCCACATTAAATGCTCAATTTTAAGAACCAACCATCTGATTCCATACATGTGGGTGGTTCTAAGAGTGGCTGAGGCACTAAATGGGAGGACTTCTCAGGAGTAACATAAGCAGAGGCAAAAGGAAAAACAGGAAAGGAGGAATAACTTTCAACTTTCCTCTTGAGTAAGTGAGGCATTAAATTTTACTTAACAGTAAATAAACTATGAGTGTTAGTAGACCTCGATCATAGAAGAAAAAGAATGTGGTGTGACCTCTGTACTGCATGACCAGACAGGAGGCCAAAAAGCTGGATGCTTACTGCTCCACACATCTCACCAGATGGACACAGTGAATTACAAATCCTTTATCTCCTCCTCCAACTCACTGAGCAAGTCTGCTCCCAAGGTAATCAGCTTAAGGGAAACCAGATCATGAACTCAAATCTCCTGACCAAAAGGCAGAGGAATAAATATGGTCCAAGCAAAAACTGCACAAGGCACAAAAAGAAAGACAGTGAAAGGGAAAAATTACTCTCTTCAGAAGGCAATCTTGTTTTAACAATGACAAGACAATCTTGCTTCTTAGGGGCTCTTTTTTTTTTAATTTCGGCTTTATTGAAGTATAATTGACATACACGATTGTAAGATATTTAAAGTGTACATCATGATGATTTGATATACGCTTACATTGTGAAAGGATTCCCCTCATCTAGTTAGTTAGGGGCTCACACCTTAAACATGCAAGCCCTGTTTTGTTTTTCAGGAGGTATCAAATCTATCATAATTTATTAGGGAAAAAATATATATCCCATATATATGTAAAAATAATCCTTTTTCATATTTTGCAGTGAAGATACAGATAGGGCACATTTCAAGATAAGTTTAAATAACAATGGAAGGCAGATTCAATTTTTAAAATAACACAGAAGATAAATTACCATATTCTCTAGGCTAATTAATTCAATTCTCACTGAGAAAGGGCAGCAAGAAACCTGGCTTAACTGTAGCCAATATTGCTGTATCAGCAGCAGGATGAGGTGGACTAAAACAAGATACTTGCACCTATTGGCTAAGAAAAATCAAATGTATGGACTAGAAGTTTCCCATGACGAAAATAAATCCAGGTTAATTCATTAACTTATTGGTGCATTTGGCAAGGTTTATTGAACGAGATACCTTACAGTATAAGACTCAAAAATGAGCTGAAGTCGTGCTCTGCCTCTAGGATATTACAATCTGGTGATGGCAACATACACGGAAAGAGTTTGTCTAAAGTAGTTATGTAATTAAATGCCAAAATGAGTCTCTGAGTTGGTAATTTCAGTGGGAAGCCAGAGAAAGACTAATTCACTGTAGTACAAAATATTCAACAAGAAATGAATTTCCATTTTCTTGAACTTCCAAAGAATTTCACTCTCTCCCTAGATCAGCACGAGAGGCCAAAGCACTGGAGATGTGCTGAACAGACCCGCCCAGCCTGCCCTGGCTCAGAGAAGAGAACTCCCCCTGCCAGCACAGGAAGGACCCAAAGTCCTCACCATTCTACTTAATGCGATTTTTCTCTTTCCTAGGAGAGTAAGGCTGTTATCTTGGAGGAGACAGGAGGATAGAAGAGGAGAGACATAGGAGATGTTACTGTAACTATGGACATTGCTTCTCTCAGATAAAGTGGGAAAGAATAGTGAGAAGGAAATAGCAGAGTGATTCCCATTCCTCAATCTCTCATTCCCTTTTCATTCATTTAACACATATATTTCTTAGGACTTAATATGTCGCAGAAACCATTCCAGGTACCAGGCACACCATTGTGAATAAGACAGAGTCCTGACCTTCATGGAGCTTGTATTCTACCTGTGGGAGACAAATAGTCGTGTGTGTGTGTGTGTGATGACAGTTAGTGCTATAGAAAAATAAGGCAAGGTAAGGGGGCAGAAAGTGATGAGTGGGGTGAGGGATGCTATTTTAGATGGGATGGTACAAGAAGGCCTCTCTACAGAAACGAATTTTGACCTGAATGAAATGAATGAGAAAGCCATGCAGACATGTGAAGGAAGAGCATTCCAGGCCGAGGAAAGGGGAAGTGCAAAGGTTCTGAGGTGTGGCTGAAGCAGAGTAAGCAAAGAGAGCGTTACAGAAGATGAAGCCAAACACATGCAAGGGGCTTGTAGGCCATGAAGAGGACTTTGTTTGTCTTCTGAGATAAAAAGCCACTGGCGAGTTTCGAGCAGAGGAGTGAGGGACATGAGTGACTCTAGCTGCTGCGTTAAGAACAGACTGTAGAGTAGTGAGAGTGGAGGCAGGTGGCCCTGGAGGAGGCCTGTGCAGTAATCCAGGTGACAGAAATGATAAGAACCTAGTGGAAGCAGTGGAAATGGTGAGAAAGGGTTCCTATCGTGGATTATTTTCAAAGTCGAACCAATGTGATTTGCTGAGGGACTAGCTGTGGGGAACGAGAGGCAGAAAAGAATCAGGGGCAACTCCAGAATATTTAACCTGAGCCTCTGGAAGAGGGAAGTTGCTATAAACTGAGATGGGGAGACTAAGTGAAAAGCAGATTTGGGAGGGGAAATCAAGAGGTTGGTCCCTAGAGATTGTTGCCCACTTCAAAACCCTTACATCTGTTCAAAAACTAAGATAACAGAAATTGAAAAGCTGATCTTAAATTCCATATGGAAATTCAGAATAGCCAGAACAATCTTGAAAAAGAAGAACAAAGTGGGAGGACTCACACTTCCTGATCTCAAAACTTATTACATAGCTACAGTAATAAAGACAGTATGAAACCATCAAAAGGATAGACATATAGATCAATGGAATAGAATTGAGAGTCTAGAAAGAAACTCTCACACTTACAACAGAGTGATTTTCAACAGAGGCGCCAAAACCATTCAAAGGGGAAAAACAGTCTTTTCAACAAATGGTGCTGGGAGAACTAGATATCCATATGCAAAAGTTTTAAGTTAGATCCCCACCTCACACCAAAAAATTAACTTAAAATGAGTCAAAGATTGAAATCTAAGGGCTAAAACTATAAACCTCTTAGAAGAAAACACAGGCGAAAATATTCATGACTCTGGATGTGGCAACGCTTTCTTAGATTTGACACTAAAGTGCAAGCAACAAAAGAAAAAATAAATTATACTTCATTAAAATTAAAAATCAAGGCAGGCCATGGAAATTAAGGAAGGGAGGGAGCAAAGGAAGGTGGGAGGGAGGGAAGGAGAAAGAAAGAAGGGAAGGAAGAAAGTAGGAATGAAAACCAACATAAAATACAGAAAAAATGATCCTCAGTCAAGTTCTTTCAGCATTTTATTAACCTTTCTTCATTTCTAACCATCTGCAGAAAGCTTGTTTTCCAGACTGTGTTTTGCCCCTAAAGCAAGTTTGAACCGTGGAGCACCAACAAATTAAATCAGCAGTAATTACAGAAAACTTATAAGGCATAACGCTACTCCCCCTCCCAGCATCTGACTGATGAGCCAGCCATAAAGTGAGAATCCACCTGGTAGGAAAAAACAGCTGTTAGCCCACAGGGGTAAGGAAGATTCCGAGGCCATGTGGCCCAGGTGGCCAGCAGGAGCCAACATGCTGGCAGGCCAGGTCAAGGGCTCATGAGATTTCTTTACTTCAGGCCTGACTTTGCTTAATCAGTGATCTATTGGGACAGAGACAAGACTTTTGTAATAGTTACACAAACCTGTCTTCACATCAGCCCTACCACCAGTCAAGACCCAAGGGCCTGGCTGCCCAGATAGGGTTTTCTGTCTGACTGACAGGAAAAGAGAGAAACTTCTCCCACCCAGGCGGTTTGCCGTTCAGACCCCCACCAACAGGAGTGTAAAAGATGTTAAGTAATTCAACTGAAAACAACAGAAGGGAGGAAAGAACTAGAAGGCAGTGCGGGAGGTCTGGGACCTTCCTCCTCTCCTGCCAGTGAAGTTTCTTTTTCCCCTGACGTGGACCCTCACACCTGGATGCCACCCGGAGGTGACTTCAGCCCCTGTCCCAAGCTGGGACTGCACCTCATCCGCACCTCGCACAAGCTGACCTCCACCCCCGGCAGCGACATCGTGAGGTCTGTGCTGAGGGCCTGAAGAGGCAAAGCAACTCTTCTGGCGAGGTCAGACACCCAGAGGCGGGGAGAGAGGAGCCGCAGCCTCCTGCCCCAGCCCCAGGGCCAGCCCCGCCACTCGCCTGCTACCCTGCTCAGCCCTCCGGGATGAATCGGAGCCCGCCGGGCGCGGGGCCGGAGCACGCCTCCCGACCTCGGGCAGCTGCCGGGCTCACCTGGCTCAGCCCGCTGTGCCCACGCCGCTCTGCCTCCGCACGCGCCGCGTCCAGTCGCTGCTGGCCTTTTTGGGTCTTTGGCGGGTGTTTTCCGTCCGGCCCCACATCACTTCCCGTAAAGGAGAGCGAGGTTGGGGCGGGACCTCCTCTCTACCCGCCACCTCCTGCTTCCTCCTGTCACCTCGAGGAACACCCCGCCCAACTCGTCCTTTGCGGGCGCCTCCTTGCGCCCCGCTCCCAGTCCCGCCACGCCTGCTTTTGTGAGCCACGAAAAAAACTCCGCTCGCCTCATTTGTCTCAAGCCAGGTCTGTACTGCCCTTTCCTGGAAGGCGCGAAACCTTAGGGGGTTGTTTTCGTTTTGAGACAGAGGTGACATTTACAAACTGCTCCAAGATCGCTGCACTGCAAGGTATAGTTTGGTGACTCTCGCCAAATCTCCTCCCTCAAAAGCCATTTTCTACAGCTGTTTCCCAGGGCATCAGATCGGTGTCTCCACCTTGTAGCCAGAGGTGCTGAGCAGCTGCAAAGCCTGCCCTGCCCCGGGTTCCTGAGACCCGGGGGGCTCCTACTCGCGGCGCCCCCAGGTCCGGCTCTCCCGGAGCCCGCCCGGCCTCCGGCTCTGCCACTGTCCATCCCACCCCGCCAGCTCCTCACTCGAGTCGGCCCGGGGATGGTCTTCCCGGGGCGAAGGAAAGCTCTGCGATTCTTAGAAATGACAAGAGGGGGGAAAAAGTAAAATTCTGACAGGAAAAAATAAATATATTTCTGAGAGGTAATGACAAATTGGGTCTCTGCTCGTACAGTCTAGTTCTGATTATAAAATCACTCTAAATTAAATTTCTTTGAGAGTGTGAGAGCCGATCATTAAAAAAAGAAAAAAGTACTTGAAAGGATAGCAGCTGTAAGGAAAAACCTGCCAGCCTTTGCTGCCCCCCAGCGGCTTCCTTCTCTCAGCGCCAAAGGTTTTGTGTATGCTTGGACCTGTGGCTGTGAAGCAGGTTCAAGGCCACTAGGTTCCCACTCAGAGGCGGACAAATTCCTCCTCCAGTGGCCTGGGGCCTGCCCCCATGGGATCTCAGGCAAAGCACTTCTGAACCAAATAATCCCATTTCTAAGTAGAGCAAAAGGATTGGAAGCCCTAGTCCAGTTTATCATCTGTTCCATCTCACTCATCTGCCTCTTCTTGTACCACAAATTCCAGCTGCCCCAGGCCTGCCTGCCCAGCCCCATCATCCTTCCAGTCTGTAACCACTCACAGTTTCTATTACAACTACCTTCTCAGATATATGTACAATATACAAAACCACATATAGGATAGACCACATCAAATACTGAATATACATACATTCAATCTAATACTTTCAGGCAAATATAACACAGTGACTTCAGAGTTAAAGATAACAGATTTCACTATCAGATGATCTTTTCAAGGGATGTTCCCCAGCGAGAGAAGGGCCATCAGACTGTTGGTGGAGATTAAAACAGGAAAGGTAGCCCCATGCTGATGTCTACAGAAACCGTCCTGGGACTCACTGATCAGCTAAGATCCGGGGGGCCAACAATCCAGCAGCTGTTAATGGCTGATATGATACTAGGAAAGCCCTCCCTTCAGCCCTCCCCACTCCTGCAGCCAGGCAGGGCTGTCCCCAGGACTTTATCAGACTGATCAGAAAACAGACAGTGGTGCTGTGGCCCATTCATCACCATTCATTCATTCAGTGAGTCAAGCACTGTGTTAGGTACTGGAGATGCAATAGTCAACAAGGTAACTTGGTCCCTGCTCTCAGGGAGGCTCAGAAACCAACAAGTAAGCAGTTAACTCCAGTGCAGCGAGATGAGATTCCTGATAAGAGAAGTTAAAAAGTGTTATTGGAAGACAGATAAGTGACACCAAATCAAAACTTCCCAGAGAAAGTAATGTATAAGTAAAGAAGGATGAATAAGGTGGGAGGGTGAGAGAGAAGAGAATTCTAGGAAAAGAGAGCAGAGGAAAGGCCTGGAGACAAGAGAGCATGAGATATTCGAGCAACTGAAAGAAGTTCAGAAAAGCTGAAAAAGTGAATAGAAGGAAGCAATCAGAAAAGAAACTGGAGAAATAAGCAGAGGCTGGATTATGAAGAACCCTGGAATGATTATAATGATAATAGCCAACACTTATTGACCATTTAATATGAATCAGCCAATATGGTAAGAACTTTACCTAGATCCCCTCATTTACTTCTCACAATTGCCCTATGAAACAAGTACTGTTTTTGTCCCCATATTACAGATGAGAAAACTGAGCCTTAAAGTGATTAAGCCACCTGACCAAGATCATACAGTTAATAAGTGGCACAGCCAGGACTAGAACTTAGAACCTATTTTCTTAATGGCTAGAAGGGTAAGAACGGGTTTGAAGGGCCAATTAGCATGCTGAAATCCAAGTGAGGGATAATAGTGATGTAGTGGCGGTGAGAATGAAGTTGAATAGACAGATTTGAGATATTTAGGAGAGTGAATCAAGAAGACTTGGTGGTAGGGGGTGAAGGAGAGGTAGGAATCCATGGAGATGCCCAGGTTTCTGGTTTGGGCAAGTAGGAAACATTGAGCAAAAGGAAGAAAGCCCTGTTGCACGGGGGGAGGGTGAAATAGGCCATAATGAACAAGGTTAGGACATTTCAAGTTTGATAGACCAGCACCAGCAGAACATCCTAGTCAAACTATTAGGTATGCAGTTGAGGAGCTTGATCTGAAGCACAGAAGACGTGTACTGGAGCTATGACCCAAAGGTACTCAAAGACCTGAGAGTCAATGAGCTAGTCTAGAAAATGTACTGAGAGGGTAAAGAGGGGGTTTGGTGCAGAACCCAGAGGATCACTCAGCATTTAAGACTTGGGCAGAGGAAATCCAAAAAAGAGTCTGAGAAAAAAGTGTCCAGAGAGGCAGGAGGAAAACAAGGAAAGTTAGTACAGAAACTAACTATACTGAACACATCTTGTGCCTCAAAATCCTCTCTGCACCACTTCTTATTCTAGCCACAGAATTGGTACCAGTATACCTCTTGCTTCCTGCTCTGGGGCTTCTCTGACACTGCAGGCTGCTGCTTGAAACATGCAGAGTCCCAACTCCAGTCTCATTAATAGGATTGCCATTGGAGGTATCACTAAGAACTCATGATTTCTAATATATATAAATAGAATTATTTATAGATATGTATGGAGTATATTTTCCAGCTCTGTCTCCTAAGAGGCTCTAGAAGCAATTATAACTCAGTAGCTATGACCACATTTAGGACCCAGATCTTAATTTCTAAATACCCTTTTCCAATAAAAAGAACCAAGGACATGATCTTATGTGTATAAAATCCTTAAAAAGTCTACCAAAAAACTATTAGAGCTAATAAATGAAATAAACAAAGATGCAGGATACAAGATCAATACACAAAAATCAGTTGTATTTCTACAAATGAGCAATGAACAATCTGAAATGGAAATTAAGAAAACAATCCCATTTACAATAGCATCAAAAAGAATAAAATACCTAGGAATAAATTTAACCAAGGAGGTGCAAGACTTACATACTGAAAACTACAAAATGCTACTGAAATAAAGACTTAAATAAATAAAAAGATATTCTGTGTTCATAGATTAGAAGACATAATATTGTAAAGATAGCAGCACTCTCCAAAGCGATCTATAGATTCAGTGCAATCCCTATCAAAGTCCCAACATCATTTTTGCAGAAATGGAAAAGTTAATGCTAAAATGTACATGAAATTGCAAAGGACCCCAAAGCCAAAACAATCTTGAAGAAGACCAAAGTTGATGGACTCTCACTTGCTGATTGCAAAACTTAATACAAAGCTACACTAATCAAAACAGTGTGGTGTTGGCATAAGGACAAACATATAGATGAGTGGAATGGACTTAAGAGTCCAGAAATGAGCCCATAATCTATAGTCAACTGATTTTCAACAAGAGTGCCAAGGCCATTCAATGGGAAAAGAATGGTCTCTTTGACACATGGTACTGGGAGAACTGGATATTCACATGCAAAAGAATTAGTGGAACCCTTACCTCACACCATATATAAAAACTAACTCAAATAGATCAAAGACTGATGGGGCAAGGGAAACAACAGAAAAAAATAAACAAATGGAATTACATCAAGCTAAAAAGCTTCTGCACATCAAAGGAAACCATCAACAAAATGAAAAGACAACTTAACAATTGGGAAAAGATATTTGCAAACCATATATCTGATAAGGGGTTAATATCCAAAATATACAAAGAAGTCATACATCTCAACAATAAAAAAACTAACAACCCAATTAAAAAGTGGGCAAAAGATCTGAACAGACATTTCTCCAAAGATGTACAGATGGCCCACAGGCACATGAAAAGATGTTCAACATCATTAACTATCAGGGAAATACAAATCAAAACTACAATGAGATATCACCTCACTCCCATCAGAACGGCTATAATTAAAAAGACAGGAAACAAGTGTTGGAGAGGATGTGGAGAGAAGGGAACCCTCATACACTGATGGTGGGAGTGCAAACTGATGCAGTCACTATGGAAAACAGTATGGAGATTCTTCAAAAAATCAAGAATAGATCTATCATACGATCCAGCTATTCCACTGCTGGGCATTTATCGAAACATGGAAATACAAATGCATAAAGATACATGCACCCCTATGTTCATCGCAGCATCACTGACAATAGCCAAGACTTGGAAGCAAACTAGGTGCTCATGAAGGGATGAATGGATAAAAAAGATGTAGTATATATACATAATGCAATACTACTCAGCCATAAGAAATGATGAAATCCAGCTATTTGTGACAACATGGATGGACCTTGAGGGTATTATGCTAAGTGAAATACGTCAGAGGGAGAGAGTCAAATATCATATCATCTCACTCATAAGTAGAAGATAAAAACAACAGCAAACAAACACATAGAAAGAGATATTGGATCAGTGGTTACCAGAGGGGAACAGGGAGGGAGGAGGGTGAAAGGGTGTGTGGCACATGTGTGTGGTGATGGATTGTAATTAGTATTTGGGTGGTGAATGCAATGTAATCTACACAGAAATTTAAATACAATGATGCACATCTGAAATTTATATAATGTTATAAACCAATGTTACTGTAATTAAAAAATAGATC